TCTGTAGTAAGATACAAACTTTGACCAAATCAAATGGATGTCCTTATTTGAAAACAATAAATAATTAGCATTCCTGTGGAGCATTTTGCATCTGTAACCGATATTTTGATATATACCGACAAGCACAGCCGACATTCCACCAAACCCTCCTGCCAAGAACGATTTTACACCGCTAGTGGTCCCCTTTTTTTCGACCGGTTTTGGTTCAATCGGTTTGTGTTCAAGGTTTCCAACCTCTACACCAGTAGTAGAAACGTCCGTCGACATGATAACTTTGTTTCTGAACTTTTAAAAACACCGGTAAAAAAAACGTAAAAAATCAAAATCGTGTAACCTTATATGTTTATTGAACAAGATAAAGTTATCATGCGTACGTGCGTACCGGTACGTGTATAAAGAAACTTGAAATTTTTTCTTTGTGGTACAAATTTTATATGAACCTATTAAAAGTGATCTTTCTATTTGTTTTAAATAAAATACAAATAATACATTGCTCGAATTGACTAAGTGCTTATTAGTTTTAGTAAATACATGCGTACATGCGTGCAGACATACGTACGCAAAATAATAATAAAAATAATGTATTACACGAAACACTTTATTTTATATTGATCTTATTGATCTTAGCGAACATTCTCATGAAACTTTAATCAGGGCTCTGTTTGTGGCCACGTGATGATAATCGGGTAACATTCATTCATGGTCTATGCATATGCGTGCATACAAATTCATATATCTGAAACTTTATATGCCGAATCCAATTATATACTAACTTTAAGTTTTGACAAAGTTCATTATACAAACATAATACAGCTAATTCTCGATGATAAGAAATTCTTTGATATAAATTAATTAAAAATTATTTATCTTATCAGACTCAACTCCCGTAAAATTGATTCTAAAGATTAAATGTAACCAAATACTATCGCTATTCCTTACGTACAATGTCTCACCATCATCACAGCGATAAGCGATAAGCGATAGGAGGACACTCATATGATTTGATCAAAAAAATTATTCTTGGTGAAAGCATTACTTTTTATTTACTATATTCTAATAGTAATTCTATACTATTTTCGGTTATCACAACTTTTACCTTTACACGAGATCACATAATTAATGAACCAACCCCATTTGTATATATATATGTTGTAAGTGGGAATAGAATTTAAGTGGATTTGGAATTTAGTTAAATTAGGGTTAGGGTCAACCCAAACCGGATTTTTATACTGTATAAATTCAGAATCCACTTAAACTCTGTTTCCACTTACAACATATATATGTTGTAAGTGGGAACGTAATTTCCTAGCATTTTAGAGTTAGGGTATAGGTTTAAATTATAATTTTATTAACGTTAAGAAATTCTAAATCCACTTAAATTCCGTTCCCACTTACATCATATTCATTTTTTTTAGTTGTCTGATTTCGGCATTTATGATGTAATAAATAAGTAATGAATTCACTTCTAATTGAAGTTCGATTATTTTACTTATGTTCTACGATGCGTTTTTTATTAGTGAAACGTTACGTTATCAAAAGGTACGTACGTACACATACATACGTACGTACGTACTTTAAAAGTTACCCAGGTAATTGATTTACATCTGCCAATCATATGATCATCCTATAACCCGCATGTCACGAAAATAACGCGTCTCGTATATAAAATTTCAACCTTATCGTGTTTATTTACAATTTTAAATGTATCAATCTGTTTTTTTTTTATTAAATCTTTTTTTTTTTTTATAGCATGATTTTTAATTATTTAAACCAGTGTTGGTTTGACCAGACCAATTTAATTTAAACCAATTTGACTATGTGATCAGATCAATTTGACCAATTAACAGAACCTCGAGCAATTCATAGATAGGTTAGAGAATACTAAAAAAGGGGTCGTCTAGAGCCAGGTGCGCTCAAGTGACTTACAACCAATCAAATCGTAAAGGTTTGGTTTGCCGGGTGCGCTCGCGTGACTTACAACCAATCAAATCGTAAAGGTTTGATTTACACGACGAAACAAAAACAGAAAAAAAGCGAAAACAGGAATGCTAATTATTTATTGTTTTCAAATAAGGACATCCATTTGATTTGGTCAAAGTTTGTATCTTACTACAGA